ACATGCTTGTAGGATGGTCGTGTCAACGCCTTGTATTCGACTCCGTCTATATACACTGATGCTAAATACAAATTAAATGATTCTTGGCCTCTTAAAATTGATGACTTCTTCCCGTGAGTTTCAGATTTTATTGTTTCTGGTATAATCCAAAAAATGCAATTTTTTTTTTCTTTATCTTGTTCTAATATTTCAGTTACTTGTGCATCAGATATGCAGACACTAAAAATGCGTACTGGACCGGCTATTTTACAAGCAGGCCAGCCATCAAGGGTTATGTCAGGATGATGAGTGGCTACTACTTGGTACGTCACAAAACTATCTGTTGTGTTGTCTGAATCTGAAATCTTACTGGGATCGTGTACTTTGTTAGGCGGCTAGGCAATTAGAATTCTTCAGAGGAAGAAATAAACCAGGGGGCCCCACGACTGACTCCTTAGCCGATGCTTTAGCGATTGCACAGCATCATGATGCTGTTACTGGTACGGAAAAGCAACATGTCGCTAATGACTATGCAAAACGGCTTTCGAGAGGCTACAAGGAGGTTAAGTCCTTTTATTTTTGTTTCAAACAGCTAATCAGTACTAATGTTTATCACTGTTTGTTTTCTTGTATTAATTTCTTTTTATGTTTTTCCCTCTTTTCTTTGTGAAATTCGTTCAGTCAGAGGATGTTGTGGCAGAATCCCTTGGCTGTCTGACGCAATCGTTGTCACCTTCGAAATGCAAAAGTCCTGTTACAAAATTCAGCCAGGCAAATCCACTTTTTAATTTCGAGTTTGCCTATGTTTTCTTGCTTCAATCCTCCCATTAGATCTGATATCTTGTCATGTTTACAGTGCCCACTTCTCAATATAAGCTATTGTCCTGCAACAGAAGTTGATCTTTCTCAGGGGAAAAGATTAGTAAGTATGTTAATTTGGCTGTATTTTTATTCAAACGACAAGAGTATATATTTACTGAGGACATGATGCTAGGAATTTTATAATAAAACCAGAGAAGCTTAAAAAAAAAATCCTATTACATTAGAAATCGTTTTTTGACTTTTTTTTTTTCCTTTCTTACAAATGATAAAAATGTAAGTCATATGTAAACTTAATGACTGCTTCTCTTTGTAAATTCGAAAATTTTCCTGAACTTATTGGTAATCACTCATGCGGGTTTATTTTGAATAGCTCATTGACTGTTTATCTGCAGGTAGTAATTGTCTACAACTCTCTGGGCTGGAACAGAACTGATGTAGTCAGAATTCCTGTGAGCACTTTGCATGTTCTTTCTTCTTAGTTACTGAGCCGAGTTCATTTGGATCGCCTTCTGCTATTTTTTATGACTTAAATGTATTCTTTTACCGCAGTATATGTCCTGGTAAAAGAAATGGAGTGATAAAGGAAAAATAAAAGTGCAAGAACATCTTACTTGTGGTGTAACTCGATGCAGGTGATCGAAAAGAGCATCACTGTTAGAGATTCTGCAGGAAACAAGATTTTGTCACAGCTTATTCCCATAGTAAATGTGTCGATGTCCATAAGGAAATTCTATGGCACTGCATATATGGGTAGAAACTCTTCAAGTGGTCCTATGTATTGGCTGGCATTCACGGCTGTTGTTCCACCTTTGGGTTTTAGCACTTATGTGATCACTAGGGGCGGATGTAAGACATCATTCCTTTTTTAAAAAAATAAAATAAAATAAACAGGTCATATTTTTTTTATTCTGTTTTATTCAGCATACGACCCGAATGGATTTACACTTTGCCACATGTTGAATATGCAGCTTCTACTTTAATAAAACCGGTTTCGGTCACGTTTGATGAGAGTCAAAATGGTGATATACAAGTAGGGCCCGGCAATGTGAAGCTTATATACTCTGGAATAAATGGAAAGCTTGCACAATACGTTAATAGCAAAAGATCGGTATGATATTTAGTAATTGACTGTGCTTGCATCCTTGATGTTTGTGAAAGTATAAGGATATATCTTTTTACTTCTGTTCTGTTTTTTTGTTTATTATTTTTTTTTTTGTGGTGGTAACCACAAGGATAGTTCATCCTTTCAGTACTCCCTCTTTTTAAAAAGTTAAATAAAATTGTGAAGGTACATTATGTGATACTTTTTTTTTTCTTTGGTCAAGGTAAACATTTCTCTAGGGCAATCGTTTATATATTATTCTGGGCATAATGGGAGTAATGGTACCACTCAGGTTGATGCTAATCCTTCCTTCACATTTTCCTCAATTTCTGGTGGAGTTTGAACTGATAATTTTATTTATTTTATTGTGTAGTCTTCTGGAGCATATATTTTTCGGCCAAATGGCACGTTTGGAATTGAGCCTGAGAGAAGGGTCACTATAAGCATTCTTATTAACGCGCTATTAGTTGATTTACTTTTTCATTATCAAACAATGACGAATTTTCTTATATTGTAGAATCCACTAACAGTTTTTAAAGGACCACTCTTTGATGAAGTTCATGAGAGGATTAGTTCGTGGTTATATCAGGTTAGTATCTTCTTTTTCTTTTTGTTATTTTTCGCTTATGAGTGATATAATGAGAAACTTGAACCTTTGAACTAATAACAAGCCTCGCTGAGCACATTTAACCACACAGTTGAAATTTATGTGTGACGACAGACGATTGAAACTCAGAGTTGTGATGGCTTACTTAAGATATCTAAATATGAAACTGTACGATAATTATGCAATTGAAATTTATGAATTCTCTGTAAAGAGCACTGAGAGATGGAAATTAAATATCAGTTTCCTTTTTCTTTTCTGACAATGAATTGTTGAAATATCTATCTATAGATTACAAGAGTTTTCAAAGACAAGGAACATGCTGAGATTGAATTTACTGTAAGTCGATTTGTTTACATGATTACATGTTATACATGTATTCAATCATATTCTTTCTCTGCTTAATACATAAGGATGAAAAGAAAAAAAAAAATTAATGTTTCAGATTTTCCTAATTATTTCAAATTGTCAGGTTGGCCCTATACCCATTGAGGATGGAGTCGGGAAAGAGATTGTAACTCAGATAAAAACAAATATAAAGAACAATAAAACATTTTATACAGACTCTAATGGCCGTGATTTTCTACAACGGGTATGTGGCATTGTACTTGGTTTGCTAAAGAGAATCCATTGGGCAGCACATATATCCAGACAATATGTGTGCCTTTTATTGGTTACTGAAGTTGGTACTATAATATATGCAACTGACCTTATGTAATTTTCTTTATTTTGCATAGATTCGTGACTATAGAGCTGATTGGGATCTTCAAGTGAACCAACCAATAGCTGGAAATTACTACCCCGTAAGTTTTAATTATTGTTATTACATTGCATCTTTTTTCCCATCCATTTTCAACTGAAATGGTTTTCGTTTCATCTAGTACTTCAAGAATTTTTTAGGTGTCCCAAATAAAAAAAAAAAAAATGTTGTTTGTATCCAAAACTATGGAATCTTGAAAACCGAATTCTAAACTAAGTTGATTTTACGTGGTTATTTTTTCGTAGTTGACATATTTGTTGAGGTTCATTTTTCTATTTGCTCTTTTTTCTTGATTTTGTTCTTTCAGATCAATCTTGGAATTTACATCAAAGACAAAAATACAGAGCTATCTGTTTTGGTAGATAGATCGGTTGGAGGATCGAGTATTGCTGATGGTGAAGTAGAGATCATGCTCCACAGGTTATTATGCTCTTTCTAAATCTTGCTCTTCTTCTTTCTTCCTTTTTAGCCATCTCCTTTTTATAAGCTTTGCTGTGGACACGTTATTAGTTGTGAAGGTTAATTACAAAACATACCCTGAGTTTAGCAATATTATAAATTGAACCCAGTTTGTTCTCCCTCTCCCCGACACTATTTAATGTCTTACAAAAGTGCAATGCTCATTGTATTTGAAATTTCGAAAAACTTGATGAGTACTCGTTTGATAACAAGGCTGAACTCAGAAGTAGTGGTTGTACTTATTCATAATAAGGGCAAAGTACTGTAACTCAATGCATTATTTTGTAGGCGATTGCTTCATGATGATGGTAGAGGTGTTGGGGAGCATCTCAATGAAACAGTTTGTGTTCGTGATTCATGTTTCGGTTTAGCAGTAAGAAATCTGTCCACTGTGTTTTATTGTGAAGAGAATACTTGAAGTGATTTCGGGCTCAAAATAATTCAAGATTCTCAGCTTCATCATTCTTTTTTTCCACCTAACAATGATTTTTTCAGTTAAATTGTTAGTTTGTTCACAGGTCAATGGGAAGTACTATCTGAGGTTGGATACAGTTGGAGAGGGTTCCAAGTGGCGTCGTTCGTTTGGACAACAGATATATTCTCCATTATTATTGGCTTTCACTGTGGAGGTCACTCAGAGATTCTTGCTTTTTTTTTTGTTTGATTGGTTGGTTAGAAGGTTTTATATCTCGATAATTCCATCATGTGTCCACAGGATGAGAGCCAGACGAAATTCTCAGTCCCGACTTTTTTGGCCATGGATCCTTCGTATAGTCTACCTGATAATGTTGCAATAATAACCCTTCAGGTAATTCTTTTGAATGACCACAAATGCCTGATGAGTGAAAGTTCTCCCATTTTTTTAGAGGAAAATGGTTAATATTTTGAGAGCTTATTGTGAACTTTTCTGCTTCCATAGGAGCTTGAGGACGAATCTGTTCTCCTTCGGTTGGCACATCTTTACGAGGTTTCCAGTTCTTTATTTCACTCCATTTCGTGTTAAGTTATTACCGAATAATGACGAATTCCACTTTTAAGGTTTAGTCTAGTTATTTACAGCTTATTTGTATTAACTTAAAGTGGTATTTGTAGTTTGAAAAGACAACTGGAATATTTCAGCAATTAGACTGAATCTCAGTTTTGTAAATATCATTTTCGAAAATAATACTCAATGGACTCTCTCTCTCTCTCTCTCTCTCTCTCTCTACTTTATGATCTGATTAAGGTTGGAGAGGACAAGGACTTATCTGTCACAGCAACCGTAGAGCTGAAAAAAGTTTTCCCGAATAAGAAGGTGAAAAAATAAGGCTTCATATGATGGTTTTATTTGAATACCAATTATTATTGACTAATTTCCTCATTGGTTTCCAATATCAGATCAAGAAAATCATGGAAATGAGTCTGTCTGCTAATCAAGAGAGAGAAGAAATGGAAAAGAAGAGATTATCTTGGAAAGTCGAAAGCTCCCATGAAAAACGAGGCACCAATTTAAGACGGAGCCCTGTCGACCCTGTGAATTTGGTGCTCGAACTTTCTCCCATGGAAATTCGAACATTCATCATTATCTTCAGCTGAGCTTTCTTGTTCAAAGCACCATATATAGAGGTAAAGTTGCTATAAGAAATTTTCGTTGTTAAATTAACCAACCCAAGAAATGTAGAAAAGAAGAAAGACAAAAAAAGAAACATGGAAACCGGTTAACTTTTAAGATCTCATAACGAATTAACTACCCCATTATGAACAAGAAAACATCTCAACGGCAGTATTTTTTTTCCCCAATTCTAACTTTTAAGATTTCATATTGTAATTAAATAAAGACTAGTATGTATAAAACTGTGGAGCAACTGGCTAGACTGAATTATTTATTAGTTTGTGTATGTGGATTGAGCTTGTTCTTTTGTGGTGGAAGTCTTGAAATGAAATTTGATTAATGTGTATATTTGGGTTTGTTTTCATGCGTTCGCAGCTGGTGAACCAAATATCGTAATGGTGCAAATTGTTGACGACGAACTACAGACAATGAAGCAACAAAATCCCACGTGTCAGGTCAGTCTGAAAGCGTAGAAAAAGATAAGCAATCAACAGAAACCGGGCAAAGAAAGGGAAAAGATGATTGGT